TCTTTACTATCCATGTTATTTCCGATGGTGATCTTTTAAGAAATAACGTGTCACGCTTTAATGTGCTCCTGATAGTTAAGAGATAACTTTCTTCAGTTAATCCCAATTTTTTCAGGAAATCTTCAATGTTTGTATCTTCACCATGTTTGGCACTGTTTTGTTTTTTAATGATTGCCTTTTCCACAAAACAATAATTTGAACATCTTTGTTACACAANGGGGGGGGGAGATATTCTACAAAGTTTTCAATGGGGAGGCTAGGTTCCATCTCAAGGTCCATTACCCCTTACTCTTTTGTACCATTTTGATAGGCAAAGGCACCTCTTTTGTTGACCTTTCATTGGAAAAGATTTCAAACCTATTTAAGAATATTCCCTTGGAAAGAAGTTAATACACAACATATCAGAATCTCCTCATTCTGGCTTAGGAGAGTAAATGCCAGCTTTTCGACAATATTTTAGAACCAGAAGAATGTAAATCCTGAAACGACAGATTTCCCTACCCTTTCATGCACCTCAACTTGTGAAATCCCTATCATCTTATAACTAAATGTATACCTGAAGACTGAAAAAGGTACTCATTTTGAGGTACGCTTCTATTATATTTTATCTACAGACACGTTCTTTTCATGCAGTTTTTCACTAGGATTCTCTCTGAAACAGAGGCAAAAGGTAACTCGGAGCTAAGGGTCCATCGATCTTCTGTTGCAGTTCAGTCATGGCTGTGAAGATTCATCTGTTATTGTTGCTAGTTTTCTTGGAGATCACTGTTCATGCTCATTTGTCCGGACATTGACAAGGTTAGGAATGTGTGGCAGACGTGCCATCGATAACAAATTTGTGTTGATATACTAGCAGAACTCAAGTTTCTTGTTTTATTTTTTTGTTTGTTTTTTTTTTTTACTTTCTGTCCTTCATGTTTTTTCCCCACTGTGTAGAGTAGCCTAAAGGCTTTAGCAGTGTAATTTACCACAGGGTTAGAAATATGAAACAGACTATGGATCAAGAACAAATTTGTTTTGGTATACTAGTCAAACTCTACTAATCTGAGTTAAGATTTAAAAAAAATCAACTAGATACGTTTCGTGTCAGGAAGAGAAGAGCAAGTGGTCAATACTTTAATGACGACCACTCAAATCCCACGGAAGGTCTGAAATGTCTTATGCTCTTATTTTAATTGCTAAAAGCGTTAAAAAATTACTATTAGCACGTGAGTTTTTTTCAGGTGGGCACTTCACTGGGATTGCCCAGTTAATAAGCCAGACTACACTTGCGTGGCTGCTAGAAAATGTCCATCAATCTTCCCGACTAATATGGATCATCAGTACTTCTGTCCACTAGATACAGAGTTATGCTGCCGCAAGTAAGAATTTATCACAATATACCTTGACCTCACGAACCAAAAGTCGTTTTGCTTCCTTCTCAGTCGAACATTATAATTATTTTACCCCCGATTTTTCAAATCAGATTTCTCACCGGCTTTTCCCTTGGATGATTCTGCTGTAAATTTGATTTATAAAGCCCAATAACTTGCATAGAATTTAGTATTTTTGGCTCGTGATTATCAATTGTTTATCATTGTGTAGTCACGACGTTAGTCTTGTGATTCTAGGGCCCCACTGCCCCCACAGTGAGTCAAGCTCCGAACACTAATGTATAAGCGTAAGCAGTCAGTTGCGAGGACGCGCACAACACAAGAACAAGCAAAAAGTATAAGCACAAGCAGAACAAAAATGTTTGTTCTTCTTGTGCTTGTGAGAACGCGCTGCTGTATGCATAAATGGAGGAGTTGTGAAGCCGAAAATAAGTGAAATATCCATATATGCATTTTCGAAAGTTGGAACCATCCAACTTTATCAAGCGAAAGTACTTTTGTTTTGGGCGTCCTCGATATCGTCATGCTTATGCACGTGCTTGTGCTTATGTCGTAGTGAAAACCAGGCTTAGCAAAGAGGCTAAATAACTGTGATTTCAATACGCAATCTTTCTGGAAAATGGTGTTCCGACCAGAGATTGTCATCGTAGTATTTGACTTATTTTGTAGACAATCGCAATGGAAGCTGGTGATGGTTGATGGTTAGCCCGCCCAACGTTGGACGACTGCGAATAAAGCGATGTAAAATTGACAACATGTCATGATTCATGTATCTGTTAGACAAGTGTCATATTTAGTGGTTAATGTATTGTTATTAAACTAAACTTTAAATTCGAGCGACTAAATGCGGCCTAAACAGTAAAATAAAAGTGAGAGAAGCATAAGCTTTAATAATATATTACGTGTTATTGTCTTTCACAAAGAACAAAATCGCCCAAGGTATCTGAACATAATATTTTTCGGTCTGGATGGGAAAACCTTCTCCCCGGTTCAGAAAGACAAGTAATATTCATTTGCTGATTTGAGATGTCTTTGTCGCAAATGGAATGATTGACCTCACGCTACATTTTCTTTATGGTTTCTTTCCCCTAACCTCCGATGAATGTTGTTACATCACAGTGCATTTACATGGACCGAACCAAGAGCCATGTTATGTCTGTGTGCTGTAATCTAATGACTTTGGCTACCATAGGAAAGCCAGAGTCAAAAATGTCTTGGATGCCAAATCGGAATCATAGTACCAGGCGTTCCTAACGGAGAGCGCAAAAACTGGAGATTTAAATTGCGACAGCTTGCCAACGGAATGCTGAGTTTTGTTAAAGTTTTAAAAAGAATTAATCATGTCTAATGGACTCATCTTGCATCTAAAGACATCGCGCAATTTCGGAACAGGTCAGTCCACGAATTCTATAGTTTAAAGGCTAGCCAAATTAGCAAAGTTGAGATTAGTTTTCAAGAGGTAAGAATTGAACCATATATGAGTTAAACTACGAGAACACCGACCAAACTATGGCTACTGACTTAACTATAATGTTGAGACAAACACCTCAGTTGTTGAAAAAAACAAACAAACAAACAAACAAACAAAGACAAAAACAAAAAAAGGAAAACAACAACAACAACAATAAAATTAACCAACAAGATTCTTCGTGTACAAATTCGCGGACAGAAGTTCGAAGGTGAGGCAAGCAATAATCAATATTTGGATGAAGAGTTACTCAACGAAGCAACTTAAATGGTGACAGGTGAAATAAGAAATTTCACGCGCATTTTCTCAGAATTTGAATAATTCCCCGAACTCGTTTCGCAAGTGAAAGTAAATTAGTTATCACTCGAGTGAACCAGTTGATTACTGCTCTCAAGGTATTCAACTAAATGCACAAAATCTTTCATAGTCACGCTGAAATTTTATAGTTAACGCTGAAATTTCGCGCCAAAATTAAGGAGTTATTTGTCATCTATGTTACATTTCAAACTCCTACTATTTGAAGCATGTCATAAATCGTAATAACTTAACAGAGGCACGGAGGTGAAGTCATTGTTTGAATTCATCAACATCAAAAACCGAAGAAAGAAAAACTTCTCAAGAATGTTTTTAATAGGCCATTGTCACGATAAAACGCATGCGCGGTCTCGATTGACACCTTTTTTTTAACTTATGAAAATCGTAATACTACCACGTGCGCCTGGGAGAATTCGCCGAAATATCTGTTTATTGGACATTGCTGAAGTGAATTATTTCTGTCACGGGCATTCTCAAAATCAATAATCCGATTGCCGGATTCCGGATTCGAATTCCGGGATTCCGGCTCAGTATTTCCGTTTCCCGATTCATCCTTTAGGATTTCACGAAGTAAACAAAACGTATACTTCAACAGCTAATACACATTGAAAAGAGGGCAGACTGCCCGCCAATTTTCGCATTACATCAGCTAAAGTGATTTCAGAAAAGCGAACTTAGTACTTTTCTTGACCCTCGTGAACATCCAATGCCCGTGACACGCAATTGCCGTTCTCAGCTCAGTTGTATTAGCCTTCTGGCGCAAATTTGATTTGGTATAGATTCAGTAGCTCGTTTTTTTTTATTTCAATATATTTCAAGAAGTAAATTCTCTCTTTTCTGTGTTATATTTTGATAACACTAGGCAACATCTTAACCCAAAGGACGATTTTTTAATCACAATTTTTCCATTTCATCAACCAGAATAACGTGACAGGAAATTACGATTTTTGAGCGCGGTTCCCCTTACATTTCGCGTTGTCAAATTTCTCTGTTTGATAAGCCTAAAAAAATTATTACGCTTACTTTTTAAATAAATATCGCTGCTCTTTCGGTGGGTCATACTTTTACTGTGCAACGCCATGTATCAAGTTGTTTTTTCCGCTCTCAATTCAATTGGGCCATTCTATTATCTCGCCGAAATGGATAAACGAAGCCGAAATGTAAGACCTCTAGAGAGAATTATGTTCGTAGCCAAATTGTTCATGCAAACTTTTCAATTGGGAAGCAATCTGTCTGAGAATGGGAAATGGATATCGTTTTATATTTACCGAGTTTCAGGCATAAGAAAACATGAACTTTCCCTTCCGGTTGGATGAGAAACCGCGGGGGGTTAAGACCTGGGACTAGTCAGGCTGTGACGGCAAAACAATTGCGTAGGTTTACTTTCGTAAATATTTACAACTTTGAACTAGAATTGAAATTACGCTTGACGCTTTATTCCTAGTGTATTTACCTCAGTTGTTCGTCTCTATTTGTCTGGTTGAAAAAATATGTCGACTTACATTTATGTTTCGATCGACATGACGGCTTGACTATTCAATTGGATGCCCATAAAACCACAACAAAGGTAATCACGTTGGTCAATCAAATAAGCGAACAAATAAGCGGATTATGTAATTTCTTGTATTTTCACCTGGCTAACATAAGTTTATGGCTTTTTCCATAATTTATACTTTGATGGATCAATACTACCCCTCCTGTAACATGATCCTGCATTAATGGTATCACACAAATGTCCAATTATTAGTCAACACAACACAATACAATACAATACAATACAAATTTTATAGTCAACTCCCCATGGGGGCTCTTTAGAGACAATAATAATGATAAAGATAATTAAAAAAGTACTCAAAGATAATCGATAAACAATTATTGAAAAAGTATTTACATATAAAATTTATGACATTAAAAATTGATTTAAAAGGAAGGCTTTCATTTTACGTTTAAAAATGATAAGAGATTCACTTAATTTAAAATGGGGTTTTAAGGGACTCCACAAAGTTACAGTTCTGTAATAAAAAGATCTCTGTCCACACTTGGTCTTAAAAAGCGGTTTATTAAGCTGGGTAGATGATCTGGTCGCCCGACCGCTAATGTTCCCTCTGGAGATAAAATTTGAACTGAGGTAGTTTGGTACTTGACCTGTCAGATTTAAAGGCCAAGATGGCGTCTCTTAGATACAGGTGGGACTTTACTGGTGTCCATCTCAGGTTTTTCAGGGCTGGCGTTACATGATCAAACTTCCTTGTCCCGGAAACTAAGCGAGCAGCGAAATTCTGTGCTGCTTGTAGTTTGCGTGTATTGCTAGCAGGAGTATTCGACCAGATGGACAAATAATAATACAACTTGCTAAACACGAGGGAATTAATTATTGTAACAAGTATGTCTTTCCTAAATACATGTTTACCTCGACTTATTTGCCCTAAGGCAGACATACAAGATGATACTGTTTCAGTTGTGAGGTCGTTGAATGAGCGTTTACTATCAAACACTACACCCAGGTACTTAACAGAGTCGACGGGTAAAAGTTCCTTACCCAGAAGGGTAAGACGAAAATCCTGAAGCTTCGATATCATTTGCCGGTGTCCATATACAATCAGTTTGGTCTTGTTCGGATTCAGGAGAAGCCTATCATTAAAACCCTTCTCCTAGTCCTCTTTTTTTGTATAAAAATTTGCCATAGTAAGAGTACAACCTGCTGAAAACACCTATAATTTTAGTTCCAAGCGCTGGATAAACGAGCTTGGTGGTCACCACCCTTTATTGTCGAATTGTGATAAGCATGGTAAAATGCAACGTTTTGCAAAGTTTTAATAAATTCTAAGGAGGGTTTCAGAGCCAACTTAAATTGTCAACTTAATGTTTCTACTGTTGCTTGGTAACATGTTAAGCCAGAAAGATACCCACTAAAGGTGCACTAATGACAGGGCATTTGCGTGATAGCAATGTTGTAGCATCCCCGGATAAACAGTGTTAGTATTGATCCCTAAAAGTATAGCTGTCGGAAAATTGCTTGAAAAACTGCCTGGTCCTCCTCATCCAGACCTGGTCATAAAAAAAACTATTTTAATATTTAAATATCCCATCTTTGTTGCAACGAGAAAATTGTCCAGTCGAACAATAGCAATCATAAACATCCATTTGGTGAGCGGCTGCAACCATTTAAAATTTAAATTGCAAATTATTCACGCATTGAAACATACCGACAGGTACAGACAACTGATTGATATAAACTGTTACCCTTACAGTAAAGAAAATAAGGGCAAGAAACAGTTTTATTGATCATTCTTGCAATAGACAATGACTAGTATAACTGTATCTTGGGCTGTTGGCACTCCCTAGCTATGTGATTGATAGAGGCTTGTTTCCAATATAAATTTGTCCTTCAAAAGGTCAAGAATGTACCACCACTGGAAGAAATCTAGAAGGAAAGAGGAACAAATAATAATATTACTCAAGCTATCAATATCATCAACCACAAAGCCACCATGCATGGAGGTGGTATTGCCATTAACTCTGTACTCAGTTGATGTTACTTCCTTTAGGAGGTTTCTTTCAGGAAGTGTTGTTCCAGAAAATATCCATACAAGTATCCCTACTGCAAAAAATATTTGAACCCCGTCAGAAACTAGATCACCTTTCTTTGAGTGGGTATGGATATTTCTTAGCAGCATACAGAAGAAAAGAGGAAGGGTCAACGATTACTGCCGGTAAAGCAGGGCTGCAGCAAACTGGACAGGTCAAATAGCGCCGCCTATGAAGATAAAGTACTTGAACTTAGAGCTTAGCATCATTATATGGCTATCGTCGTGAGCCGGCAAGATGAATCAAATCCTGCGCTGTGATTGGCTACCCGGACGGGCAAGATGGAGCTACCTTGCCCGCTCGGAACTACCCACCGTGTCCCGCAAGAAAAAATTTCCCTGAAAGCATATAATAAATCCTTTATTGACCAAGCTTGTTCAGTCAAGATGGCTGGATATTGGCCTCGTTCTTGTTTTGCGAGTTTATGGACCTCGACTCCGTCTCGATCCATAAACACGCAAAAGAGAACTTGGCCAATATCCAGCCATCTTAGTCAATAACCCATACGTACTTAGTACGCACTTAGCAGCCCAAATCCACGTACACTTAAAAAGGGTGTTTACTCACGCGGTGAAGTCATAGACAACCTTTGGATTAGGTTTTTGTTGATATCAAAAATAATCAAGGGTTGGGTGTTATCAGGCTAAACCGAAGGCAATTTATTATATAAAGAACTTAGAACATAACTGAAACTTCTGTGAAAAGCAAGTGACACTAATTTATTCAACACTGGAGATATGATTAATTCTTAAACTTTTGTCTTTTCCTACTGCATGAAAAACTGGCTTTGCCAAAATTTTTCTCAAAGTCCCTCCCATGAAGCCAATATTTCTATGCAACAGTCATTGACCATCGTTGTCTTCGCAGCTGCGCAGTTTATAAGGTGTTAAACGTATCAAGCATTTATACAAAATAGTGCAAGTTCCTGATGCAACAATATCTGCGTAATCCTGATTATACGTCTCGCTTGAATTGATGGGGGAATACAAAGAGCTCTCACGTAAGGCGCGAGCGCGAATTTTGACTTTGCAATGGATTTTTGCGCAATTGTTTTGTGTCCTTTACTTTTGACTATGACTGATGCTAAACTCCTCAAGATATTAGCAATGAAAAACAGTATATAAAAGAAAATGATTTGAACTTGGCAGTTACAAATAAATCGAGGCTGGTGAATTGTACCTTTCAACCTTTCAATCCGCAACTACGAGTAAAAACTATGGAGTTTGCCCAAAGCACCCCCGAAAGTGGCCGAGCAAATGGTAGCACATTGAGAAAACTTCTACAGTGAAGACTTAAGCCAGGCCAGTGACATAGTTATTGGTGCTCATAATAGCAACAACCTACAGTTATAGAATTTTAAAGTATATACAATAGCGACACTTTTGCTTTTATTTCTACGTGTAATAATAATAAATGTTTTTTCTTTGGATTTTCTGAATAGCGAGCAGATACCAGAAATGACCTAGAGGAAACTAAAATCTGGTATGGTAAAATTTGCATGAAAATTACAGGGGGAAACAAAATTCAACAGCCTGTCGGATCACTATTTATTGCCAGTGAAATTAGAAGTAGGTTTGTGTACTATTGGTTGTAGCGGAGATAAGATTTAATACAAATTTAAAGGACACTGGAATTGTATTAAAGTTCAGCTGAAGTTAATTGTTGGAAAGTTATTACAAGTTAGCTCAATATTTCATTCAACAAGCAAAAACTTTCTTACGTTTTTATCCATGTCAATATAGAAAATGGTACATATGCTACTTACTTTGACAACAGTACAATGCTCTTGTCATTTGCATACTTTTGCTTGGCCTTTAGCTAAATTATCAGCAAATCGACCACAATTTTTAACCATGGCACCAGAAAGAATACAAAAAGCCGCTGTGACTAAACTTCAACTTCTATCATTCTGTTTACCTTTCCCTCTTCTCGTTGCTGAACAACAGTGAAAATTTAATTTTTAGGGTAGCAACGTCGACAAGGGGAAGAAAATTAATTCAATTGAGATTAGATGGCTTCAAAAATAACATAAATGTTCCGATAGGCAGTCAGGTACACGTAAATACAACAGTTTTTTTCAAACTATTTGTAACTAACCGATAACAGTACTCGCTATTTGGCATTGTACAAAAGCATGAATTTGCCAGCCAGTTTTTGGCTTTTGGTGACAATTAAAAGTATATATATTTTGCGATGATGGTGAAGGCTTAGTTGCAAAATCATCAAACATGTTGTATTGGTACTTAACTATGAACAATTTTTTTTTTGGTAAAGTACCAAAATATCTGTAATCTAAAATTACTTTACAATTTTTGCATTCTTCTGTAATTAGTATCCGAGCTTTGCAGGGTCTCATGGATACCACCATAGTTGAATGAAGCCAACTTATTTGAGTGATGAAAGAAAGTTCACTTTTAAATCAAAGTCACTGGAAGCTGAAGACCACTGTGGGGGAGTCAGTACATTTTCAGCAAGTAAAGGTTTCGTTCGACTCGCCTTTGTCTTCAGGGCTGTTTATCATTTGCTTTGGTTAGTCGTCAAACTCGAAATCTATAGAGTTAAATCTCACGACGTTTGTAACCGTCTTTCCCGGTCAAGCAAATTGTTTTTTTTTTTCTTTACATGGATAAGTTGTTACCACTTTGCTGGGCCAATGGCGACTACACTCTCGACATTCCGAGTAGCAAGTAACGATTTTTATCGTCTTTGTTTTACCAAAACGTCCACGTCCTTTTGGGAAAATTCCAACGTTAAAAGGGAATGTGTAATAGTAGATGTAGCGGCGGTCTTGTTTCTCACTTGCCTTTAAACCTGATAGAAGCAGGTCAATAACAACATTGAATAGCCTATCACGCGGCATGGTTTTTTCACAAAACATCGACCATCTCCCTCGTTTTCTTTCAGGGTAATGCTTTCTGACGATGTGTCTTCGCGCCTTTGTAGGTACCTTTACTTTCCTTAGGGCCAATACACAAGAGAAACATTGTAAACGCAATGGCCTCATTGTGTAGTGATGATGTTATAGCTTCAGTTATCTTACTTATCAAAAGCGGTGAGCCTTTTGCTTCCTGGGCAGCGGCTACCCTCTCCACGGATGTTCAAAGACCTTTATTGAACTAGAACGCATGCACAATCAAACGAGAACCACCTTTCACTTTCTGTTCAACAAAGTATAATCTGTGATTCCCTAGTTGTATGATCTTTTTGAGGCCTCTCACTCCGTCTAGACGCTTGAATGTTTAACTAATGAGTTATCTTATGTCATCACATCGAAAACGTCAGTTATAAGCAGCAAAAATATGAGTGTTAATTAAATCGTTGTCTCGTGCAATTTGGAGGAAATACATACATGGTGATTTAAATTGCGTCCAAGACAGCAACGAGGATAAAGGTACACCCTTTTATATTTCTTACATTTTCTCTTTAGTTTTAAGCTTGGTTTAAAATTCAAGTTCGTTTGCAAGGTTAGTGTCTCTGGCGTGTTACGTCACAAATTATGCTGCAATTTACTTTTTGACGGTTTCTGATTACAATCTCTTTGTGAGCTTGTTGGTTTGATGGTGTTGTCCTATAAAGCCAGTATTTATCCTAATTTGGAAAAAGGGCCGTGAATTTAAGTTATTAAATGCGTTACTCTGTAGTTGTCTCTACATTTGTTTGATGAATCGGCAAACACAACAATAACGACGTTGTGATACAACCCTAAAAGTATTTTCTTAAAGAAATGAAGTAAAGGAACTATAGGATTCTTCTCAAAAAACGTAGCTATACTAAAGCTCGTGTGTTGGCAATTCTCCCTTCGTCTCACGGAGTTTCTGCTTAATAACTGCCTTTGTAATGAGATTGTTTTAACTGAAGAGAGTTTCATTCCACTGAATCTGTCGTCCAAGTTTTCGATCTCAAAATATTTACAATTTTCGTTAAGTGGGTCCGCTTTGATTAAGACTGTCGTTAAAAACTTTTACCATTCTCTTCTTCAAACCGGTTTTTGATTAAAAAAAACAAAAACAAAAAAAAACACTTGGAAAAATTGAAAGCCATCGTTATGCTGAGAGCATAAACATGAAGAAGTCATAAAAAATTAATTGGTCTTATTTTGCAACGCAAAATTTTAACTCATGTTTTTCAAAAGGAGCCTTTAATTGAGTGAGTATTGAGAACACCGTTGGTGGATGTTAGGACAAAACGAATTTATCGGTGTTGAGAACAATAATGTTGTAAGAATCTTCTGAAATTCGCAGCTGAAAATAAAAAAAAAAAAACTAAAACAATACTACTTGTTTCCTTCTTAAAATGCTTGCTTTAAATGAAAAAATATCGTTCGCAACGATCCAGGTCGATGTACGAGACAGGTTTGTAAAACGTGTTAAAATAGTTATATTGAGAGAATAATTTAAAGTTGCAAAAGTTGTAACATTTATTATAACTTGAACCGAACTAACTTTCTAGGGAAAATTAATTGTAATGACAAATTACAAAAATAAACTGTGCTCGCGCTATATCTTGAGTTCACTCAAACAAATTTGTTCTCTTTCCCCCGTCAGCAATTCTTAGACATACCTCTTATGTCCTCTTCCGAGTTTAGGAATGCAGCCGTAGTAGGTGATGGACTTACGCTTCAACGTGAACCTGTAAATAAAAGTTTGTAAAACGTGTTAAAATAGTTATATTGAGAGAATAATTTAAAGTTGTAAAATTTGTAATATTTATTATAACTTGAACTAGACTAACTTTGCAGGGGAAAATTAGTTGTAATTTTTGAAACTGGACTCTCTTTTTGAATTGTACTCTCTTCTTTAGTTTTTAAAATATAAAAATGCTAAATCCGACCAAAGTGTTTGGTCTTTCTGTGTTTTGTTCTTGTCTCCATAGTTTTAATTATCACCATAGTTAATTAGGTTTATTTCGTTGGTTGTGAACCTTAAACTATTGGTTTCATTGGCTGTTAAAACAAAAACAAATGTTTATTAGCATATATTTAAAGTGGTTGCGTAATAATCATACATTCATTATCTCCTTAATTAATGCATGCTTATTGAGCCTTAAATAGCAATACATGTAGGACTTTCTTTTATTTCTTTTCTGGTAATACTCGCTAGCGTTTAGATCTTCTGCATATTAGAGTTTCCCTAGGGCGCTTCACCATAACACTGTACCACAGACACCTTTAAGTTCTATAGCTAAGCCTTGTTTTTTTCCAAGAATAAAGCTCACGTAGAAAATCACCAGCACCCGATTGGTCAGAACTGTGCTATAATTAACATTATAGCCAATAACAAAAGCTGTTGTGGCGAGCTTTCAGAGTTGCTAGCGAAGAGAGCGGAAAAACAAAATGTTTGGTGGGAAACTTTTACGGACAATTACACCAATTTTCTTTATATTCTCCTATATTTTGGTAGATCACTTCAAAAATGCGTCTGGTGAGGAAGAAGTGGGGCCTGTTTGTTTAACAGCTATTACTGGCTGGCATATTTGAAATAACAGCTGGTGACGCTACTCCGATTATCGTAGTTTCATATTTCTTTCCAGTCTAACAAAAGCTAGCATTTGGACGAGCAAAATATTAATAGTCAATACGGCATAAACGACATACCCCAGTTTACAATCGCTCCAGAAAACGAAACATGTAATTAAAATGCTTTTGTTTTCCTCGCCAGACACTATATTTTGAGCATCATATTAAGCAATTATGGCCCAAATTTGTGACTTTTCTTAAGGTTTACTTCAAGTGAAATGACGTTTTCATGGCAACTCAGGTCAAATCTAAATACTGGTAAATGTCAAATAGTTATATACCGTCCATCCTTGATAAAAAAAGAAACCCTGTTGCCGATCCTTACAGCTATCGCTAAAATTGTAATAAATTGTTCGCTACTGTCAGTAAGGCTACTGAGAAGGGAATCCCCATCAAAAGCGCTTGTTCAACATCAGGGTAACTACCAAGGATCAATCTTTTTTATCCCCTGTCACTTAATTACATGAAATTTGGTCATTGATCAATAATATGAATTCTAAGTGTTTCCTACAGTGCATCAGTTACCATATTGAAATCTATAATAGACCATGCAAATGGCCACTTGCAGTTTTAGTTAATGATTCCTTTACAAGTGATAATTATTCTGATGAATGAAATATAAATTAGCAAGGATAGATCTTTAAGAGAGGCTAAAGATTTGACAAAGACAATTATAGGCCAATTTCTGCCCTTTCTAACATAAGCAAAATATTTGGATCATCGCCTCTATAGCTATCTGGAAGAATTTAAGATACTTTTTCCATTGAAGTTTGGTTTCAGAGAATAATGCTCGAAAACCCTATCACTTATCTCTATCACTGAATCAATTGGTCAATCTATTGATAATAGTGAATTTGATAATTTGAGGCAATGTGCTTGAATGGTAGAAATGTTATCTATACCATAGAGAGGAATTTGTAAGTGTTAATGGTGATAACTCAACTTCCTCCCAGTGACTTGTAGTGTACGTTCCTCAAGGATCCATTCTAGGACCTCCCTCATTCTTTTTTTACCTAACTGATTCTCCTAACACCTCTAGCTTCCTAATATTTTATTTATTTGTCGACGATACTAACTTTTAGTTTTCAAGTTAAAACCTTAGTCACTTTGGGGAAAAATGTAATCCTTATCAGGAACTCTGATCAATTGCCTAGTTGAGGTGTGCCACTTAGCACTTAAGATATCTGGAACAAACCTTATTGGTTTTCATTTCAAGAAAATAAAACCCAATCAGTCATTTGATATTAAAACAGACGACGAATGTATCATACAAGTTGACTCTGCAAAGTATTTAGGTGTGACATTTGACGTCAATTTATGGGGGAAGATCATATCAAGGAACGTTGTCTTAGACTTTCAAAAACTGTGGATGTCTTGTCTTAAGTGAACATCTTGTCAATAGAACCATTCTGCTTATGCCTCATTACCCTCTTATTTATCCGTTCCTCACTTATAGTCAATCCACGTCTGGGGTTTAATTTTTCGTTCAGTTCTAACACCATTACCGGTTATACATAAAAAAGAAATTAAACTTTATTTCTTTTCCTGATGCGAGATCTTATTGTTAACCTGTATTCAAACCTCTCGACCTACTTAACCTTAAATGATATTGTTAGTCACAGGTACCTTCCTCTGTTTATCAATTATCATCTGGACTGCTACTTCTATGTTTTAATGACTATTTTCATTTTACCTCTTAAGTTCATCCCTGTCCTACACGACAAACTCTGTGAATAAAACCCAATTTGGACTACGCTCCCTAAAAGTTACTGCATGGTTCTCGTCTTTAAAATTCCTTGCCAACGAATTTTACGAAGTCAGATTCATTTTCAGTCTTTCGTCAAACGCTTAAGAACTCTATGCTTGACAATTACACATATTAATTATAGCCAAGCACATAAAGAGATACTTTTTATCTTGAAGAGATTTGTTTTACGCTGTGTGCTTCATCCACTAGATTAGCTTTGCTATCGAGATGATCCTTAGTTTCCTGTCATTAATACCTACTATTATTTCTTTTTTTAAATGTGCGTTCACTTATTGATGTTGTACTGTGGCGTATAGTTAGCTGAGCTGAGTTAAATAATAATAACAAAAATATTTCAAAATTGATTTGTTTTGTTCGGAGAAGTGGTTAGACTGCAGGAAGTGCTGTAGTTCTGTCATCCACAACAAGCTTAGCAATCAATAATTTATAAATCAGTCACTTGAAGCTGCAGACCATTGTGGAGAAGTCAACAATTCGCAAGTTAACATTGAGCAGGAATTTTCAGCAAGTAAGCAAGTAAAGTAAAACTTTTATTTCAGTGTCTATGTGTTTAGCCTAGATAGCCTAATTGAGGACACTAGTAAAATAGCAACACTAATAGACATACGCTACTTATAAAATTTGAATATTTACAGGAAAATGATAAAAACTAATGAGTATGAGAGATGCTATGTTAGCTTATGGACAAGGTAAAATTGTAAAAATTAAAATAATTCTATTGGCTACAAAGATTACAGCAATTACTGTTGTTAGTTAAAATGTCGGCAAGGTTCAGTTTTCTATTTTTTTTTGTGTAAAAAAAGGTAAACTAGGCGAATCTCTTTGATTTTCGGTACGTTTTGACCATAAGAATGGCCCGGAATATCTAACAGAGTGTTTGCCATAGCGTATAGTTCTAAAACGTGGTAATACGAAGTCACTCTTCTGCAGCGAGTGTGTAGAGCCTTTGCGGACAAATACATCGGAAACGAAATCAGGGACGTACAAGACCATGTTTGACTTTGTACATAACTGCTGCATAAGCAAAAGTTCCATTCGACTCGTTTTTGTCTTTATGGCTGTTAATCGTTCTCTTTGGTCAGCTTGATAACTTTCCAGCCTACAGAAACAGAACTCACCACATTTTTAGTAGTATTTAGTACTCAGATGAATGGTTTCATACATGGATAAATGGTAACAACTGTGCTTGGCCAATGTCGATTGCATTTTGGACATACAGTGTAGTTGCAGACGATTTTTATCGTGTTAGTTTCACAGAAGCCTCCTTGTCGGTTAGTGAAGACTCCAACTGGAAAATGAAATGAATAGTGGTAAATGTACCGAAGGCCTCTTTTCCTGCTAGCTTGCAAACCTGATCGAAGCTTGATGGTGACTGTATTAAAGAGACTCTGTGGTGATATAGCATTCTCAAAAAACAGCGATCGCTCCGGATCAATTTCTTCATGAAGTGTAAAAGGATAATGCCTTTCGATGACATGCTCCCGTGCCTGGTTAGGTATTTGTACTTGATTTAAGGTGGCTTCACAAGAGGAACATTGTGCATGTGAAGGTTTCATTTTTATCGGTGCTTGGACGGCGACATGCTTTATAACTGCGCATGCCTTTAAGACACTCAGTCGACCGGCATGCAATGCGCGCGACAGCCGAGTTTTCGTGGGCTACGAACTCTGCAATTTGTTGGTGTCGATCGTTTCGCTCTTCAACCCTTTATAACCTAAAGCATCCATCTAGGTTATTCGTTATTTCTTGCCTTTAGCGACAAGGTTCATTACCCCCCTTTAACAGCGAGGAGAACATTTGGTAGTAAATTGTGTGTTTGTTACATATTTAAGAAGTTAAACCACGACCGGTAATATGTTTATTTGCGAAGAACCTCGGTGGAAGGTTTGGACCATGGAGGCTCTTCAACAGAATTGTCTGAGAAAATCTGTCCAGGATCAGTGAAAAACAGTTAAGAAGTACTCAGATACATAAAATTTAAAATACTCCTGTCTACTGCGGTAAGAGACAGTGAATTGATTTTATTTTCTTTCGCATTACTAACCTTGGGAAAAGACTGTCGCATCGCTTGTTGATTCATTCAATTATATTAGTAAAACTAAGTGCTTTCTCTGCTGCGTTTTATTCCTTGAGAAGAAAGCCTTTCTTGCAGAAAGGGCAAACTGAAAGCGCTTTGGTAGCCGTCGTGACCGGTTATAGATAACAATTTTGTAGCGAATCTAAAACGTGGTATAAAATCGCCAGCGAAAAATGAAATCGTATTCATTACATTACTTCTATTCTACATCATGACTAAGACAGTATTCTAAGCAAAGAAAAAAGTACTTCATATATGTATGGTTGTGAAGGGAACTAAAAAAAGGTAATTTATTTTATGGAGTTGTTTCAATTCTCCGCGTGGCGCCGACGGCGGCAGGAATTTTGTAGCCGACATTTGTCACCTCGCAACACGAGATCAGAATTTCAAAACGCAATAGTTCTAGGCCAAAAAACGTTTAAAGGAGACTTATTATACCTGATTTTACCAGTAAATTCAATCTGAAGACGCCAGATTCCCCAAATTTTTTCGATTTTTCTGGCGCTTTCTTCAGCGACAGAATCAAAACAAAACAAAGCGAAAAAAGAAATTCAAAACGAAACAAAACAAACGCCCGCAAAGCATCCCGGTCGACAGAGAGTCTTTAATAGACGGTGTTCCCTGACAGGGATCGCTGTTGCCGTCTTATAACTCTGTCTCTGCCTGATCGATTGATTAACAGGCTGTTTCATTCGTTTATTCATTCGTCTATTCATATATATCATGTTGATGTGTCTTTTAATTCCAATTCACTCCTTGGTAATCTACAATATAGGTCGAAAGCTCACCGACATTTTTTGATTTGCTATTTAAGAAATGATATAGTCGGTGATTCCCTAGTTGTGTGATCATTTGAATTAAATCTTATTGCTAACTCTTCGCGCTCTTCTTTGCTTGAATGCATAGAAATGAGTTTTTATGTCATCGTATTGTAAAAGACAAAAATGAAAGGAAATCATGAAAAGCAAAAAGGTAAAAGACAGGTTTTAGTTCAATAATTGTTTCGTGAAATTTGGAGAAAATGTACACAATGTAATTTAATTTGCGTCACAAACGGCAACGAGGATAAAGGTAAACCCTTTTATATTTCTTAAACGTAAATATACTAAAGCTTGTGCTCTGGCAAATCTCCGTTTGCTTCACAGATTTCCTGCTAAATAGCTACCATTGTTATGCAATCGCTTAAATCGAAGAGAATTTCATCTCACTGAATTTGTCAATCAAGCGATTTTTCTACTTCAAAATATTAATAATCTGCTCTAAGGGGGAACTCTTTGATTAAGACTGTTCTTAAAACTTTGCACCATTCTCTTGTTAAAACCTATGTTTTAATTCTAAAAGAAACACTTGAAACAATTCAAAGCCATGGTCGTGACTGTATAAACAAGAAGAAATCACGTGAAATTAATGAAAAATGTTTCCTCAGTCGATTCAGATTGATGCATGAGACGAATTATTTTAAAATCTTATGGGCATTACCATACTGACAATTCTAAAACTGCTTAGGCTAAGTAAAAAGCTGTTTCTCATGAGTGAAGAACAATTACATTCAACCTCTCTAAAATATAAATTTACAAGTATAAACCAGCAGATCGAATTTCACATGATGATTTCGATTAGATGGGATTGCCAAGAAACCGATCTATATTCTCTCTTTCTAGTATTCTTTTCTTGAGAAAAAAAAAAAAAAAAACTTCAAGCGCAATGACCGTGTTGGAAACATTGCAGGTGCGAGTCCCTACTGATTGTTTTAATTTGGGACGATGGACGTACTAAAGCATATATTTCCATCATGGCCTGAAGCAACTCAAAAATAATGTGCGTCAAATTTCGACTAGAGTCATCAATCCCTCAAATTTCTGTTCACTCCGCCGCACCGTCATTCTTTCAGCATAGCCTGCGTTGAAAAAACAAATTTCCCTGTAAATGATGTAGCGTCTGCGACGCATCAGAATTGCCCTACATCTGTGTTTCTATCTTGTTCGATTGCAGCGATACATTGTTTAATTACCACTGTTGAAAACTACGTACTCTCTGGAAAATGTTTCCTCTTTCCTGGTTGGCAATGCATAGACATACCTTTTTATTTCACTTCCAAGTCCATGAATGCCACTGTAGTAGTTGATGAGTTTACGCTTCAATAGGAATCTGCTCATAAAAAAGTTTGAAAAACACTTTAAAATCACAAAGAAAAAAACATTGGAAGCTGTAAAAATGGAAATATTTGAAATATATTGAACTGGACTCACTTTCCCGGCAAACATTAGTTAATGTTGTGATATTTGAAACACCTTGAGCGTGAATCTCAATTTCCAAGCAAAAATAAGTTGGTAAAACTTAGAAACCTCATTAAGGGAATGTCAAGAATCCTGCCTACAATGAGATCCACCAGTGTTTTTTTTTTTCCTGTGCTTTGTGTGTTGTCTGCATAATAAATGAAGTATATTCCGATCTATAGGCCTTTGAGCCCAATACTTCTTTTATTATTGGCTAAATTTAGATCTGTTAAATGTTAAAACAAATAATGTTTTTGGTTGTCAGCATGTATTTGAAAAAACAAAAGTAGTTTTGTGTCACACAGAAAATATTTTTTGGCAGGTGCTTTTAATATAACCCGCTGAACGGCCATAAACTCGATCAAAAACATTTCAAAAGGTTTTCTTGACAATACTACATACATTTTTTCCCTTCATACTTGCTCTTTACCAGATTTGCAATTTCGTATTGTGCATCATGCAAAGTCCCCACTAGGGCGCGTAACCATAACACTGTACCGCAGACACAGACACCTTGATCTTCAGTTGGTAAGCCCGTTTGATTCGAAGATTAAGGTATACACGTAGAATGCAACTATTTGATTCTTATAACTACACACAATTTTTTTTTGGGTAACGACTGGACTTGCAACCGAGTAGAGTCTGTACAGAGAGATTTTGCATGTGTCCGTTATGAAGGTTGATGAACCTGATAAGTAAGAATTGTGCTATGTTGCCCTTTGAGGGGAGGGGGATGTTGTAACGGTTTATTAGTAACCCCCTAACGAGGAAAGCGAAAAATGTTATGGTTGGCGGTACCTTGAGCAATTGCACAAATTGTTTTCGATAATCTTCAACATTTTTGTTTAAAATGCTTATAGGAATAGTGTAGTTGACCTGGAGTCTGATGAGTTTTCGACAGCTATTGCTGACTGGCATATTTGGCAATAATAAAAGGCAGCGTAATGCAAAATGTTATCGTAGTTTCGTATTACTTTCCACTCTAACGGCTCGAGTAATTAGCAATCAGGGCATAACCCAGTTGCTCTAGAAACGAAAGGAAAGCGTCAGATGTTCTCCAACAAAATGTTTTGTTTTCCACACCAAACATTGTAGTTTTAGCATTATGTTAAACAAGAATGACCCAAATTTGTGACTTTTCCCAAGGTTTACCTCACGTGACTCGAAATCTCTATGGCAACCAAGTTTTTGTCTATTTCCAGTCTCCTTAAGCCAAATTTGGAACCAACTTTCGGTTTACACCAAGTTTTTTGATTCAAAGGACATTTTGTGCTTTTCCTGTACTAGTTTTTTCAAAAGAGTTTTCGAATTAATAAGACTTTTCGCAAAAGACGTAAAGGTGTCGTAAGCTAGTGAAAATAGAGTATTCCTTTCCTACTTGGGATGTTTTGCAGCAAGTTGCGATCAATCGATTTTTATTTGTTGTCTGATCTTTTCAGTAGAATGTGGGCCGAGAAAAAAAAAAAAAAACCTCGGTAAATCCTGATTCGTGTGTCCGCATGATCAGAAGGAATCTAAAAGTGTTTAAAGTACAGCTACATAGGTAAAAACTAGTCCGATTATAAATATCGGAAAAGAGAAAAGATTCTAGGGAAAAATGGTGTTAATTATAATTAGAATGTAGGCGGTCAATTCGATATTATGTTTAGTTTCTGTTGTTCGCGACCAAAATCGTCTCTAATCCATCAATTCAATTTGCTGACACCTTTTTCAAACTCTCCAACAAATGCCGAATTATTACAATTCAACTCGTTTCGCGGAAAAATAAATAGACTCGCTTGTCATAATGAGGGCATTTTTTTCGATGTGAAGCAATATTTTCATCTAATTATCTGAAGAAAAAAAAGATAGACATGTCTAAAGTCTGACAAAACGATTTTTCGCGAAACTCTAAAGAGAAATATATTTTACGCATAGACGTTTGCCGTAAATAATATTTCAGAGCAGTTTTAAAGAAGTTTTAACGAAAAATAGATTAGAGAAATTATAGAAATAAATGATTATGATTCGGGTCTCCTGAACGCGCTTGTTATCGATTAATGTATATAGGTTATAAAACAGTACCATCCCTTTAATTACATGAATTTTGCTTCAGGCGAAGCTGAGTGATATCCTGAAGGGGTTATCTATCCAGACTAATGGAATATAAAGCAAACAACACAATTTAAGGCAGAATAAATTAAGAACAAAACATCCGATTCCTGGATAACGCACTTTTGGGTCATTTCCTTTCCACTTTTGTAACATTCTCGTCTGTTAGTATTAAGGCTTTACATTCTTTTTTGTTTTGCATATCTGGCACTTAATCGAAATAGGTCACTGCTAAATGTTTGTTTCATATATTTTTGCAAGAAGAAAGTCAGAAGGCAAAACAAATAACAGTTTCCGAATGATTTCGGGATGTTTACTTGAAATGTTTGTTCTTTTTAGCTATTAGTCTATATAGACGCTTTTCTGACACTAACTTCGTACCATCTTAGAGAGATCGTGGTAATATTTGATCTTTTCCCTATTTCCCCTAGTAAGTCAATATGAGAAAATTGTTTTGGCCTATTCTACGCGGTCTCTAAAACAATAATGAACGGCTTTGTTATATACATGAATCCTGTAAAACGAAAAGTATGGATTTTCATAATATAACTCTCTTTACTGATATGTCTCGTTTGATCTGTCAATATTTTAACATGGACCTGAGGCTTTTAGGAAAAAATTGATTTTTATTTAAAGTTTCTCCTGTCCCTCAATTCTCAAAAAAATACTTGGACGCAGAGAAAACGCCACTTAATATAGAATTTTGTCCTGAAAACCTCGGAGCAATGTCAAAATATTAATATATCGAACGTGCTCTTTTAAGGCTTACACACACTAGTAGAACTAGAAATAGAAGTAGTCATTTTATACGTGACCATAACTATCATACACTTTCTTGGACAATACCTTTGAAAAACATTGAGATCTAATCCGAGGATCTGTTCTTTCCCCAAATTGCCGTTACCAACGATCAGGTGAAAAAGTGTTCTTTACCACCGGAGCTCTGAATATTTGCCGCCACATAAAAAGGGCTTTAGACATCATTGATATCGAGAAAAAACAGTACTACGCTTGCAGCTTGCTCTTTAGAACTCAAACTTCTCCACCGAGACTTGGTCATACATCAAGAACAAAACACAAGTAAGTTATTTGAATTGAAGAATTTGCAAAGCTGTGTTTGAGTTCGGTAGAAAAAAGTTTATTGCGGTGTGATCAGTTCCGATTATTGACAATTCATATTTTTTGTTTGGCCCTTGCTAAGCTGCATGACGTCATACTAACGAAACTGTTTACAGAATGCTCGCTTAGTTCAATTGTAGAATGAGAATCAGAAGGCCTTACTTGTGAGGTTTTGACTGTTGACAAGGTGATACCTTTCTCATACCTGATATAATTTGCATAAGTCAGAATGGGAGACTACCCAAGATACTTGAATTCAGCACCTCGTGAGCATGGTTTCGGTGAAAAAAAAAATCATAATTTAAAAAATTATTAACCGCTTACTTGCCGAACGAGAGGGCCGTAATGAGGAGTATTGGCCCGAGGTCGCGGCGGTAAGTACAAAAACTTCCGATGGCCAATATTTCCCAATTAGGCCCGAACAAGATGGGTTACTGAGTGGTTTATTAAATGGCAGGAAACAGAAAAATAAAAAAAAATTACTGACCAAGAGAGGACCTATATCAGAATATACATTTTAAGTTAAGTTCAGGATAAGCTCGACATTTGACTCAACTAAGTTCCTCCAAGTTAATTTGGATCGACCAACCACTTCTTGGTGGATTCAAATTCAGTTTAAGTTCCACATTGGACCCAACGGTCGAGTTTTGCCCGTTCGGATAAACTCCAAATTGCAATTTAGTTCGTCTCATGTGAAGTTCGACGTCTGACCTGGGCCTAAAGCGAGCACTTTTAATACTCTTTTTTCGTATACGTTACACGCCATGTATACCCTCCAATCGAACTCCGGGTGTAATTTTAGCCTTCTCTCTACATCCAACCCCGGTCAAAGAACCATTTTAACATTTAAATATCCCACCTTAATACGAACGAGAAAATTGTGCAATCAAACAATAGCGATCATAAACAACCATTTCAGTGTGGACCCAAACGTTTGAAAATTTAAATTGTAAATTATTCATGTTGTGTTATTGTGAATGAAACAGCAAGAGTCCGAGGTAAATTACGAATATACATTTACAAGATGGAATACGTTTACATATACATTCCCTTGACGTATAACCGAGCATACTGTGACAGTTCATGCATTGAAACATTTCAGTTTTTCGGTAGTCTATTCACCGTTCACGTTTAGAATTCAAGAAGAAAGAAATCTACTTTTCTCCTCACTCCTCACTCTTTGAGATATGTCCGTATATCCAGAGCTGTTATGCCAACAGCAAGAACTTTACGCTTTCTCAGGATATTGAATGGTTTTAGAATTGGGAATGTTTGGCAACCAGACACGATCAAACATTGTTTGGTGACCAAACATGCTGACGTTGTATTGAGTGGCCAGACGGTATCAATCATTTGTGCATGTTGTCGTTCAAATTTTATCGAATACGCATGATCAAACATGGCCGTCGATAAAACCTGGAGTATGGAACATCCCGGAACTTCCCGGAACATCCCGGAACATCGCGGAACATCCTTAAAAAAATATATAATAATTATGAAAAAAATATGAATTAATTTTCAACGGGCCACCTGCCCGACCTACTCTGCAAGGTAGTTCATATGCTCCCTCAGTTACTACTACAGGAAGTTAACGGAGTAACAAAGAAAATTTTAACAGTTTTCTGTTACGGTCTTTTAGTATGTCGTCATATTGTGTCCAACCGACGAAAGTA